AACACGACGAGACTCAACAGCTACGCTCGATACTCCGACGGAACTCGACGGGACTCGACGATCAACGTGGAGGTGATAGGATTCGATTCCAGGTCACGCTGGGGAACCGAGGGCTTGCGGGACCTTTCTGCTCACGGTGGTGGTGGTCGCCGGAAAGGATAGCAGGTATGGTCGTCGATGGACTTGCTCGGCCACGTACAGAGTGCTGATGGTGGTGATGGGGAAGAGCTTCTCGCTGAAAAAAAAAACTGATCTCTGCTGGTGATGATGATCGTGAGGAGCAGCAGCGGCGGGAATTCTCGCCAGAGGAGGACTCACAGAAAATAGGTCACCATGAAGAACGGTGAAGATGATGGCGAGCTCACGTTGAACACAAGCAGGTATTCTCCACTGGATTGACAGCGAGCTGCTGATGACCGAGGTGATGATGATGCGCAAGATGATGATGGTCGATGATGGCGAGCAGATGATCAGGTTCTCTTCTTTGTTCTCTCTCTCTATTTTTTTTAAAGATCGATGATGGCTGACAGAAGAAAGATGATTGAGAGAAAAAGATTTATTTTCTCTTCTTTGCTCTGTTTTGATGCGATCGATCAATTTTTTTTTGGTAGATGGAGCGAAAGAGAGAGGCGTAAGACTGAGCAGATTTCTTAAGCTGTGGGAGAACCAATTAACTAGGGTCTGCCATTGGTTTTAACGAGAAAGAGAGAGTTCTACAATACTTAATGCTAGGATTTCTCCTTCCATACTTGGCCAACAAGAAACCCGTGAGGAGATGGCGGGCTGGGGTGCACGGTTCGGATGACACGGGTTGGATCTCGGTTCACTATTTACGATAGTCGACGTTCGATAATGATCGAACGATAATTAAAATACAAACCGAGATATTTATATTTATATTATACACACAATATTAATTTATTAATAAATGAACATTTAATCATATAATAACAATTAATAACAATAATATTCATTTGGGCATTTAAAACAATTAAATATTTAATAATAAACAATTTATAGAATTAGACAAATAATAATAACAATAACAATAATAATAATATTAATGACATAAATAAATAAACAATTAATCCCAAATATTTCACAAATAAACGGGGCATTACAATGATCATGGTATATACATGAACATAGCATAACATAGCATGATACCGGTAAACCATTGCCATAACATGAACCGTTGCCTCATCTGCCAGCATAGAAATGTCGGCCACCATGTGCACAATCTAGTGGGAAGACTAGACCACTAGAACCCAGAATGGACCAGCGACCATTCCAAGCGGATACATAGCATAGCATGACATGATACATACCTCAAACATGGTACCGTAATTATAATCAATGTAATACCCAGTCAGAGTCCCCACCTGATCCGTCGATATGAAAAGGTAGTGCTGATAATCGTAGCCTGATCAAACTGAAACATAATATAGACAATTACTAAGTACTATGCTCAGACTGATAAAATTGTTGTTTAATGTGTTACGATGCTCAACTGGAACTTGACATGATTTTAATACTTAACCGGTATAACCAGAACCGATTTAACATGGAACTGGACTGACATGAGTTTACTGAACTGGACCGGACTCGGAATTTAACTGAAAATGGGACATAAACATGAACCGAAACATAATACATTGATTCTAGCATTGAACCGGTCTGAACCGGTCGGTTTCCGGTCTGGCCGGACCGCCGGCCTGCTGTGGCCGGGCGGTCGGCCGCTGGCTCGGCCAATCGGCCTGTTAAGGCCTTGGGCGCGGGCGCTGGCATGGGCTGTG